TATTCGGCACATCTGGCCTGCAGAGTTGTTTGTCCCAGTTGTTTGTTCCAGTTGTTTGTTAGTCAGTGGAATGTTCCGGAAGATAGGGGCGGTAGGTCTTTGTTTGCGCGAGCTCGACCGCGTCGCCTTTGAATCTCATAGGGAGATCGGCGCCGCGGCCGAGCCCCGCGATTCGTCGAGACGTTTCCAGGCGAGCGCGCCAAATCGGCGAGCGCGGGCCATTTGAACGGCGACGTCGACACAAAATCGCGACTATTTTCGAACATATTATTTACTAAAAATGTTGACTTCAACCCTTTCAGTGTTACTGTGACGCCATATGGCTCACCTTTGAAAAAAATTTTTTATTAATCAAATTCAATAAAGCTTGATGTCCATAAGTTTTTGGATCGCTGAATCCAAATTTGGAGTTAAAATTTTAAAGTTCAAAATGACGGGATCCGAAAGCGTTTAAAAATTATTTTTTATTAACGTTTAAAAATTATTTTTCATTATACGATTTGCATGAAATTCGATTTGCAGGGGTTTTTAGATCATTTAATACAAATTTGAAGTTAAAAATCGAAAATTCAAGATGGCGGATCTAATACAGCAAACCAAATCCGCTTAAATATTTTAAATTCAATAAAAATAGCTTTTTTCCGGTTTTTAAAATCGCTGAATCTAAATGTAAAATCAAATTTAAAAAAATTTTTTCAAATTTATTTAATAATGTCAACAGAATAAGCGATGATGAGCATGTTTTGAAAAAGAAAAGAAAACTTAAAAATACCGCTTTATTAAATTCTGTATTATTAGATTTTTGTACAATATAAACGAATATTATTACTAAAATAAAGATTACTTTAAAACTTTTTTCAGTTGCGAGAAGTAATATATAACGATTGCGACCTTACAAAAGAAGAAAGTGAAATTCTTATACTGAGTGCGGCTCTCCGTCATCAGCTTACCGATGCAGCTTTGCAGGATTTTATAAAACTAATTGACTGTCATGTGCCACGCAAGTGCCATGTGTCTAAATATTTATTTTTAAAATCATTTCCAAAAAGTACTTTTTTTACGTACTATTACTGTCCACGCTGCGTTACTGTTTTAAATTTTATTAACCGTGAAGTTAATGCCGAATGCGATAATTGCTTTAGTGTTTATAACCGACTGACTTTACAAAAGGATAGGAAATATTTTTTATATCTTCCCTTAAAAGATCAATTAATTACGTTAATTCATACTGAAATTTTTCTGCATTTTCGAAAGGAAAATGAGAATGAAAGTGACATAGTAAACGGTACATTTTACCGAAAGTTGAAGTCCAAAAATATTATTGGAATTAATGATATAACCATACAGTGGAATACCGATGGTGTTCAATTGTTCAATTCTTCGCGATCTATTTGGCCTATTTTAGTCACAATTAATGAATTGTCATATCGTCTGTGCAAACATCATGTGATGATAGTTGGATTATGGTCCGATTCTGTTAAACCCGATATGAATATTTTTCTGAAACCTTTTATTGAAGAGCTCATTGACTTGCATATTAGCGGTTTTCAAAGTACCACTTTTATCCATAATGAACCGATTCAAATAAAAGTCCACACTCTTGTAGTTCCAGTCGATAGTATCGCAAGACCAATGATTCAATGCATGAAGCAATTCAATGGAAAATATGGATGCTCATATTGTTATCATAAGGGTAAACAGATTCGAATCGATAGTGGACGTGGACACAAAAATATTTATCCCGATGATGTACACATGCTACGAAAAAAAAGAGATTATGAAATGCAGGCTGAAAAAGCATTGCAAGAGTCCAAACATGTAAAAGAAATTAAGTGTCCATCCATTGTACTTCTTTTACCCGTTTTCGATATCATCTCATCTTTTCCGCCAGAATATCTACACAGTATTGCAGAAGGCGGAATAAAACAATTTGTTATGGCATGGTTTGATTCAAACAATCACAAGCATATTTGGTCTTTACACAAACATGAAGCGCAAACATTACACAACATTTCGATGATAGATTAAAAAGTTGTGGACGTAGGTAGTGGTAGATCAGGAGAAGGAGCGCAATGAAGGGTGATCCACAAATGACTCCGGATGAGGATAACACGTTGAATATATTTAGGATTATATTTACAAGGGTAGGAAATGTCAGTGTAAGGCTTGTAAAGGATGACTTCCAGGAAAGGTAGGAAGTAAGTCGGGTGGCACCCGAAGGTGCCCGCGCCGAGAGGTGCGAAGAGGTTTTAGCGCCGGTGTCGATGCAGATCCTCTTTCTCCAACGCGCTAAAGAGGGCCTTCGTCCGGTCCTGTACGAATGGCCTGCGCTGGAAACGTGGAATCGGTTGCAGCGGGATTGAGATGGCCGTTCTCAATCGGCTGCGATCCGGCGACGCCTGTGCCAGCCGCCGGAGGAGGTCCGCGAAGCGCCCCGGGGACTCTGAAGGTCGTGGGCGCCTTGACGGCGTCGCTGGCTGGCGACTGGGCGTGCGAAAGGTCCGGATGGAGGGACCCCTCGGTCGCCCGGGAGTCAGCGGCTTCGTGGGGCTGCGCTGCTTCGCTCGCCCTGGCGTCAACGGCTTCGTCGGCGTCCCGACCGGCGGACTTGGTGGCGAAGTGCTCCCCTCGGTTTGCGTTCCTCGGCTGACCGTTGGCCGGGGCCGAGGATTCGTAGGTGGCCGATCGGGCCTGATGAAGTCAATAGGCGTTAGACGCCACGGAAGGTAGGCCACTCCCGGGTCGAGCCGGCGTTCGGAGACCTCCTCCGTTGCTGAGGCTTCCTGCGGAGGCGGATGACTGCTGGCCTGGGCTTCCTGCAGAGGCGGGTGACTGATCGCCTGGGCTTCCTGCAGAGGCGGATGGCCGTTTTGCCTCGAGGGGACAGGGTGGCCCCCTTTTCTTTGCCCGCGGCGTGGTGGCGGGCTTTCGTCGTCGACTCGGCGAAGAATGGCCCGGCTGGGCGTACTCGACGTGGGGCGGTACAGAGGCCTGGAGTGTGCCTTGAATCGAGAGGCCGGGACTCCCGCTTCCTCTCGATTACAAGGACCAAGCTCGCTCTGTCGCTTGCTGGTATCCCCAAAATACTCTCGGAGTGACGGCCTGAAAAGCTCGCGTCGCTCCGAGAGCAGAAGAACGTGTTTGAGACCACCCACGGAGCCCTAGATATAGCGGGCGTGGGTGAATCTTAATTACGAGATTTGTCGTGGCGCCTGCGGCACCTAGCGGCGGCGTCGCGCACCGCTCTCGTCACGTGGCGGGCGCGCGGGCCCGGCGCGCGGCCAGGCGCGCGTGCCGTAAGCGGACCGCCACAAAGTATTCGACCTCCTTCTGAAATTACACGAGTACCTCAGTCAATTACTCTTCGTAAATTATGGAAGGCATCCGAATTTAAAAATTTCTTGCTATATTATTCTTTAAGCTGTTTGGACGGATTATTGCCAGAAAAATACGTAAAACACTGGTTGTTATATGTTTATAGCGTTTATATTTTTTTAAAGACAAAAATCTCTCATGACGAGTACATTACCGCAACTTTTGCAATTCGGAAATTTGTGTTCGATGTTGAAAAATTGTATGGCGAACATTTTATGAATTACAACATTCATTTATTATTGCATATACCAGCAACAGTTCGAAAATTTGGTGCGCTTTGGACGTGGTCCACTCTTCCTTTCGAAAGTTTCAACCATATTTTACAAACTTCCTTTAACGGTACTCAATATGTACCCGAACAAATTTGTAACTTCTATTTCCGTCTTAATTATATTAAACGGAGTACCGTTTTCAATCGCCAAAATTGTAGCGTTAAAGGGAAGACTGTATTTGATTCAATAATGAATGAATGTAAGGTCCAAAATGTATTGAATATGGAGATAGCTTAAGAGCATTTGGTTCCTCACGTGAAATGCAATTAAATTTGACAGAAAAATTAAGTATAAAATTTTTGTGGGACAACGCATTAAAGATACTGTAAGAACGTTTGAACGATTTATTTATAAAAATATTTTATATCATGGGGCCAATTATTCTAGACTAATAAGAAGAATGAACAGCACAATAATAACAAAACAAAAATTCATTTTAGAAATATTATATCTCTGTACTATCGAAACACTTACAGGTGGAAAACAGAATGTAGTACTTTGTAATAAAATGCAAGTTCTTCACGAAGCGTTATGCAGAAACGGTAACATTTCATCGGAACATTTTTCTTATATTGTTGAAAGATCAGATAGTATTACATGTTGCCGACTTCACGACATTGAAAACAAATGTATTTGGATTAAATTCGAAAATAATAATAACAAATTATATATTATACCTTTAGTAAATAGTATTGAAACCGATTAAAATAAATATGTACATCATGTCTATATAAACAATAAAAAAACATTAATTTTTTTACAAAATAATCTAAGTGTTATTTATTCGACTAAAATATGTTGATCATATATTGTCTGTGCAATTTATGTACATATTATATTTATACGTATTATATGTATACGTATTAAACTAAATAGACCACATGCATTATACAGGGTGTGCCAATTAAAGCCTGGACATAATCAAATATCTCGTAAAAAAGTATTTTTGAGAAAAATGTTCTATAATTTTTGTATGAAACATTTTTCTCAAAAATACTTTTTTACGAGATATTTGATTATGTCCAGGCTTTAATTGGCACACCCTGTATAATGCATGTGGTCTATTTAATTTTGAAATACATTTTTTTAAATAGTTCTATGATAAATGTAACCACGCGATATTAATTATCAAAGACAACTTTTTTATTTTTTAAGAACATTTCATTTTTTATACATTATAATTTCTTATTACAATTATAATTTCTGTAAAAAAATATTTCAGACTAATAAAATAAATACATTTTTTTTTTATTTTGTATATATGTATTACGTGAAAAGTTTCGATCAATTTAGATTTATATAGAACAATTACTCATATGTATATATGTAGTAACCACATGAGTGTGTGTTCTGATCTGTGTAATAACTGGATTGTAGACCCACCTTGTAATGTGTCTACTCTAATAAGTTGGCCATCGTAGTATTTGTATTATAATAACTACATGTGTGTGGTCTGTCGCATGTAGTATTTTTGTGAGGGATTACAATAACTACATGAATTACAATACCTAGCCCGTGCGTCTTTTTTGTAAGGGTAATTATGGAATATTCACACACGCGCACACACACACACACACACACACGCACACGCACGCGCACGCGCACGCGCACGCACACGCACACGCACGCGCACACACACACACACACACACACACACACACACACACACACTCACACACACACACACTTGCTGTATAACAAAGAAAAATATATATATTATACATGTATACTTGAAATGTTTGTACAGATTTATTTCGGTGATGTGTATATCCTTATTACCTGATTTTTTATTTATTATATATAAAAAAGAACATATTTTATATATTTTTATATAATTTTATTAATATAATATTTTTATATTCTAACAATGCATCAAAATTTGTACGTGCATTGAAATTTACAACTTTGGAGCTTTATAACTCGAAAAGTATTCAATGAAGAAACATTTTATTATAGTGTTTTGGAAAGCTCTCGAGGTCAGCTGCAAGAATATGTAATAAAAAATAGGGAATGCCGTTTAAAAAAATTGAGGTGACTTTCATGTGTCTTTCAAATAATTCTTCAAGGTCAAACCAATGGTCATCTTATGGTCCCTTCGAAATCAAACAACTTTTGTCTGAAAAATTTTTCTCCCCCGGGCTTGATTTTCGAGATATTCGACTGGATGGATTAAAATGGTCCATCCTGTATATATTTAATAATTTTTATTTAGAATCAATCACGCGTTATCAGAACATTATTCATAATACAGTGTTTGTTATCATATAAATAATATATTCAAAAAACTATTAAATAAAAATCAATTTTCTTTTGAAATACTAACTTTGTGTGGTTATTACATAATATTAATATAACACAAATATATTGTTAAATATGTATTCTTAGTATTATAATATTACAAAA